TTTTTGAGTAGTTAATTCATTAATCGTCAATCATAAATAGTTTTCACAAAATTATATCGAATATACCGACGCATAGCGTGGGTTCAAAACCTAGTACTATTTAAAAGTTGAAGCATTAAGTTCCTTAGGACGTCCACATAGGATTTTAAACGACCAATCGCGGTTATAAAACTCATTAGTTAACATATTTTATATCTCATTAATTAACATTTTTAAATTTTATTATTTTCTATAAAAATATTAATAAAAAGGGAAAATTTTTATAGAAAAATAGAAATATAAATTTTTGGAAAACAATATATGGAATATATGAGACTTAAAATCTTTGTATATAATATTGAATATAAATGTTATGCCAAATAAAAGTAAATTTACGAATATTAATTGTTATAATGGAGAGTCGTGTCTTTTAAAAATGGAGATTTGCACAACTAACATTTTTATGATACCCTTTTCTACAAGTACTCTCTCTAGGTATCCATTTTCAAAAATACCCTCTTCAATGTACAAATGACTAAATTACCCTTCTTTATCATAACCAATGATGAAGAAAGGATATTCTTTCCAACAAAAAGAATATTCCTTCCGAAAAATTTTCCGCCAAATTTTCTCGCCAAAAATTTCTGACAAAAATTTTCCCGCCAGTTTTGATTATCGGTTGCTTTTATATATTTTGCCGAAAGTTTTTTGGCGGGAAAAATTTTGGAAGGAAAATTTTAAAAATTTTGGGGAAAGAATATTCCTTCAACTAGGGGTAAAATGACCATTAAATTTTAAGAGAGGGAAAAAATGAAAATGCCAAAAAAAGAAGGTAGTTTTTCAAAAGGGTATCATAAAAACGTTATTAGTAAGAATTTCTCTTTAAAAAAATGGATTTTATTCTTTTGTATATTGCTAAAAATCTTTAAAATGGTAAACCTTAAATCATGAATGCCTCTTAAGGTCTTATAAATACTTTTTATTATATAAACAATGTGGAGAAAGCGTTGTTAGGACAATAAGCTAAACCGAGAGCACAAACATATCAATGTGTTGTTTGGAAAAAGAATAATCAGGAAGCTAATAGATTATTACAATTTACAACCAAGCCTGAGAGATGTTGGAAGAGTGCAAGACTAAGGAGGAGAAGAGAATACAAGAGACCGGTAAAGATGTTGCAACAAGGTATCCACGATTGTAGATCTAGAAGAAACGGTAGAGAGTTTAGGTAATAATGTAGAGATGAAAAGAGAGGAGATATAGAGCTTAATGGATAAATAACTGAAAAAGTGTTACCGAGAAAAGAGAACTGAAGAGAATATATAGAAACTAAGCATTTAGAGGAACAAGCATTGCTCGAGGAGAATATTGCAATGATAAATTAAACATGTCGAGGTATGATCAAAGAGATTAGAGTGAGTGAAACAATACTAAATTGATTCTAATCCATGTCTAAAAACTTTAAGAGAAGCACAAAAAGTATGCGGAAATAGTGGTTAATGTTTTGACAAATATGATTTTGACCGCAAAGAAGTGTATGGTAAAAATGAAGAATAAAAAAGAAGATGTGGAGAAAAAGCTTGAAGGTACATGTTAAGATAAGAGGAAAAAGACAATGAGAAGCTGAAGGAGACATTGTTGGGATTAGGAGAAGAGAAAATAAGAGTGACTAGATTTTTCCCCGTGGTACACCAGGGGACCAATATCTTATGCTTCTTCGTCATGTAATACAGTAATGATGTATATATATATATATATATATATATATATATATATATATATATTATATTTGAGCAATAGAGTGTAAGTAGTTAGACATGGAGTTTGTTGTCTTGATGTTTATATGTCACCATGGGGTACTTGGACCTTAGAAATTCATTTTAGTTTGAAAGCTGATTATGGTCGTTTTATAAATGAATAATAGTTTTCCAAGTCCTGCTATATTTATTAGGTTAATTATAATATCTATTTGTCTCTAGTATAAGGCTGATTTACGTGACAGTAATGGGCATCTACGCATATATCAGTGTACCAATACATAGAATAATAAGGCCTTGCTTTTTTGATTTAAAACCTTAAACATTAAAATGTAAAATTTACATTTCAACAACTACACAGTATTCGATACATAGTGAAAATAGAATAGATTCATCCCCTTTAACTTTTGGTTGTAACTGGACCCTTGTCTACAACTCTCTCGATTCCTCTTCCATTTTTTTAACACTTTTTCATGATTGGTCTGAGAAGCTTTTCTATTCTTGTCTGAGGTTGCTCATATCGGCTGGGCTAACTGTCCAAGGAGATTTGGAACGCATATCTTCAAATTCTTCAAACACCGTACGTTTGCCTTACATGTTGTTGTAAAACTGTAAATGCGCTTGTATTTGAATATGATTCCTATTCAATCAATCATTGAATATGATTCCTATTCAATCGATCACTAGGAGGGTTAGCTTTACAGATTGTTTATTAATCATGAAAATCAAATGCTATTTTCAAATTTCGAGTATACATAGGGTAGGTCTAATATCGTCTGTATCTTATTGGGTAGGTTACCAAATTAAGTCTCCAATTGACAACCTATTTGACCTTAATCAATAAAAGTATTGAATGGATTAACTGTCAAATCATAGTTATTTTATTGTTTTTTTTAGACGGAAGAGAGACACCTAGTCAGGATATTGTTTTGGTTGAAGATAAGTACCAAAGTTTATCATGTGATGACAATAATTTTCTTCAATATGTCTTAAACAATCGTTTCATTGTTTGTCTTACATCGTTTGGTAACTAGGACTAACAGTTATAGTTTGCTGATTGTGTACAAAATGTTTGCAGACAAAAATGAAATTGAGTTGAACATGTTTGGAGCACACACTATGCCAACTGTATATTTGAGGTTAGTATGCTTAACCGGATAACATAACGCTGCTTACACATTTACTCTGGAATTATGTCAATTTTTCTAATTATTTGAGTAATACCATCTTACACCACACTTATGTAGTTTTGAACATTTGGTAATTGTTAACGGTGGACTTAACAGGAAATAATTACATATATGGCTTCTTAAAAAATTGACTGGATATATAAAACTTCATTCTTCATACTTCATTCTTACATAACCGTGCAATTATAAAACTTCGTTTTTCATACTTTGACATCATTATTCAACAATGAGTTTCCTTCTTCGGATCAGAGCATGTTGTCAGTTTGGCGATCACTTCTTGGTCATTTTTTCGCCCCTTTATAAACTTCAAAAGTAAAATCAGACTTGTTTTTGAATAAGTACGCCTTGCTTCATTGGATACCCTTCCTTTCTTGAATGTTTTCAGGCTGGATTTCCAAACATACTCTGTTGAGCACCAAGTATAAGATCCTGGCACTTCATGGAAAGTAAGTTCTCTGGCTTGAGGGTTGGTCTTGTTAGTATTAGACCAAGATTGTAGTTGTGTTTTTTTTTTCCAGGGATGCATAATTGTTCTAAGTAAGAATCTGATATCTTTTCTTGGTATTGTGGTTTTGCATATACTCTCGTAATGTAGATGCAATCTATATATTGGTGATGGTGAGTAGGGTTGTTCCTGATGCTAGCATTGATGGTTTTGATATGTTAATAAATATAGACTGATTGAGTAGATTAGAATACAAAATTATTGGATGCCTTATAAGTCAAAAATTACACGATATAAGAATGTTGACAAATTTCTTGAATATAGATTATACCATAAATACTTTCTTTACGTAATTTTAGTTCACAGTAAATTGAGTTTGTCTAAAATTCATGATAATGGCTATTTCTGATCAAATCCATAGTCTCGACAATACCATATTTGTATTTAAATTATTCTTTGAATTTGACAATGTGTAGGCAACAACATAATGTGAGGTGAACTCTTTATGGTTAGCAATGCAATCACTAATTTTCAGTAATTCAGGTATGTTAGGATTCATAGTTACTATTTTCTAATATATTTACCTTAAATTAAAATTCTAATTTACGTCTTAATCTCACGCCCTTTACACTTTGAGCGTCGTTATTTAATAATATGACTTTAACGGAAAGTATTATTATTTAAAATAAAATAAAAAATAGTCGAAATTATTAATGAAAAATTCAACACAACTGAAAATCACATATTATAGTCACATATTCCACAACACACCCTAGTCACCCCTCTCTTAATTGATGTCCTCATCTGAATCAAATTGTGGATCTCAAATGTGCAAACACAAATATCATAAACTCCATTGTCAGTTCCAAAATTATGTGTTTGCCAAATAAGGGTAACATTTGTTAAAATAAAACACTGACTATGAAGACTTACATCAATGTGTCCATGTTCATTTTTGGGAATTTCTTATCCAAAATGATTCTAGAACATCCATACTGTGAAATTATACATTTTTTACCTGTTTGCAAGAAAGGAAGGTAGTCCGTGAATTAATATGTTTAAAATTAAGAAATAGTTGTTTGAGTAATTATTGTAAACCAAGCCAAGACTATACCTTCAAACTGTCCAATCCTCCAGAAACGTAAAACACACATAATTTGTTCATTTTCATGATAAATATTATGAACAATAGTATCCCAGTGCTCATCGAATTCTTTCGCGGATTTCTTGACCGCTACACACTCTATATCGTTTTTGCTTATATAGAGCATAAGTATGTCAAAACCAAATGTGTATAAAAATATACAAAATATAATAAAAGAAACGAAAAGTTTTTAGCTCTAGAGTTACCTGTCATCTTTCATTTTGAAGGTTATTACACTTTCAGCATTCCTATACCTAGCCCTGGGCGTTCGGGGGCCCGTTCGGGCTCGGGCCGGGTTTTTCGGGTTCTCGGGTTTTCGGGTTTAGACTTCTAAAGCCCATTCGGGTATACATACATCTTCGGGCGGGCTCGGGTTCGGTTATATATAAAAGGCTTGAAAATCTTACGTATACTTTGTAGCAAAATTGCCAAATGGCATTAAACCTCACAGCTGGTTCTAAATCTGAGATCAAGCTCTCAGCTCATATTCACAAAGTTTAAAACTTTAGCAAAGAAAACGAATACACTTCCGTTTTAATCAGTCATATTTTTAAAGAATTTATGTATGCAAAAGAGGAGCTAGTGTCATTTTGAGAAGAAACCACACATCAGTTAGATCTGATGAACCATTTTTACAATCCAAAAATCTGAATCAGGAAGTGAAACACTCAACTCGGCATAAGTTAGTAAATGGGACTTGAACTACATCAGCATTGTCAAATTCACCACAGTAGTTAGGAGCAGAAAAGATAGTAACAAGCTGTCTATCAGCAAAGAACTCATATCCATCCTCTACAACCTGCGAGGATGACAACAAAGATTTTTATTAGAAATACAGCGACATTTTTTAGCAAAGAGAAACATGAATATTGTGTAGACCAACTTGATGGGTACGACAGATGAGATCCATATCATTCTTTATTAAAAATTCTGCAACTTTGTCAAGTCCAAACGTGTAACTTACATGGTGTAAGAGACGCCACGGTCATTCATTCCCCAACGGCCCAACCTTAGACATCTTTGCTTGGATCAGACCAAAGCATTTTAATTCGTGGTATTCAAAGTTTCAATCACTAAAACTAGTGACCAAAAGCTATAAAACTAAGAATCTAAACGACCAAGGCTCGAACACAAAGAACTCAGACTGCGTAAATCTCAACACTTCAAATCTTTTGTTCAGTAATCCAATAAATAAACAAATTAAGACTGACTTCACGCTCAAAATTTCAAGACAATACCCAGATTTTTACATATTCTCCCTTTTAAAAATAAAATCATTTGCAGACCAAATCTCAGAAAGGAACTCGACGAGCTTCGTCATCAATGGAACTCAATCAAAAAACAAATGGAATTTACACTGAATTCAAACACAGAGATCAATCTCCACTGACCTTTACAGAGATAAATTGATGCAAACTCCAGAAAAACAGAAAAATTGATGCAAACGGTTCGTACAAGACAGAGAGAGAGACATAGACAAACAAGAAAAGGAATGAAATCGGGGATGAAACTGGGAACTTCGATTCGAGTATATGCTAGTTCTGGGCAATGAAATCGATCAACAAAAGAATGAAATCGGGTTTTCGGATATGTTCGGGTTTTCGGGTTTACCCGAACCCGAACCCGAACCCGAAAGTTTCAAAACCAAAACCCGATCGGGTATCTTCTTTAATCGGGTTTGGGTTCGGTACGGGCCTAACGGGCCGGGCTCGGGTTTGGGCTTCGGGTACGGGCTTTTTGCCCAGGGCTACCTATACCCATTTTCTCCGTCCACCCAATTAATTTCACGGATTTTAGACACATTAGATAAAATTCCACACACATCTGCATTTTTATTAGGAGACGAGTTGTAGTTTATATAACAAACGTTCAAATATTGAATTTTTAGCCTATGTAATACATCAAGATTTTTTCTGTTTAAATACAATATTATATTGATAACATATCTACGCAAAATTTTTTGTCTTCCTCTTGGGCAGTCCAAATTTTGGTATGTGAAGTGAAGTTGAAAAATCACTACGAGATTTTTCGTTAACCTCATTCATAAATGTGTTTGATACAATAGTTAATTTTAGATGATGATGTGAATTTCTGATGGGTAAATCATTAAGGGAAATGTGAAAATTCTTCAGTAGATACCAGTTACCCTCTATTATTATATTATGAAATGGTTGATCATATCTAATGTAAGGAATTGTTGCATCAATCATGCATCCCTTTTATAAAAAAAACACAATTATTTTTGCTCTAAAATTTCTGTGAGTATTTATCAAATAAGAAACATATATAAAGGAAAAACAAGATTATTACACTTGTATTAACTAATATCATCTCCTTCCTCTTCCCCAAAGAATCGCGTATGGGCTTCCATATGGACAAACCTTCACAAACCCACACCAGTTTGTAGAATGTATTTGTAGATCACCAAGATAGTTAAGATGAGCCATGAATTGTGGTTGTTTTGGAATGTCGTGGTTTTGTAAGAAGATGGAAAGTGGCGTATATTCTTTCTTTTTTGTTAAATTTAGAAAACTGGCCAAGGCCTTGTATTTATAGGAGCATATGAGTGTTCATTTCCATACTTTTGCCTTTCCAAAAATTTCAGCAATTTTACATTTTCATATTAAACATTTTATAATTCAAACTCTTGACTCATTGGTGTCAGCATTGAAAAGACTACACATTATGCCATTTGTTGTCTTTATAGTAAAATACGTTTTTCTACTTGCGGTCGTGATTCAGTAGGGTATTAAAAGGAGAGAGTAATGTACAAAATTTATTGACTGAACAATGACAGAATAGGTTGAATATGTCTTTAACACGTGATACTCTGAAACGTATAGAAATTAACCACAAAATTTAATAATCTTGTTTGACCAATTCTGCTATGTATCCCCTACATTGTTTCGTTTTTCAATGTGCTGTACATTTATATTCAACACATATCACATAAATATTACTTCAATGTACGTATGCACAAACTAACTGTTGGTTACTCTGTTTATAAAAAAGAAACGAACCAAACGTTACAATTGTTATTATTCTCCCAGAGACATTTTAAGCCATTTAAATTTTAACAGTTAAAAGTACTTCTAAGCGTTTAAAACCCGCTGTTTTCAAATAATATTGGTCTATCACAAAGTTTAATTATTTTGATAGTTATTTCATGGAAGAATCAAGTTGGAAAGTTATGATTATATATATTCCAAATATCATACATTATTGACATCATATAATCTACTCACTTTGTCTCATATAGAAACATCCTTAATAAATAGTATGTGTTTATATGTTTATATAAATCAGTACTGTATCTTACTATGTACACAATTAAAGGCAAACTATGTTTATAAAGGCGTCCTGTTGATCAACTCATGCATTAGGGAGACCATGTTTTATCATTCAACAGAATATGATCAATATATATAAATGTCTGACATGTTTGCCAACAGTTCTCTTATCTCAATGTCCAGAGTCATGGAGTCTGATATATAGTTAGCATAGTCTATTAAGACAGTTCTTAACATGTACTTAAATAATATGCACATTAAAAGACCTATATTGATTAAATTACTGTAATCATAAAACATAGTGTCTGAGTATCTATCTAATGAATACATCTTTAATAAAAACTCTTCATCTTATTGTTAGAGAATTAAGATTGTTCCATGGGTTTTTTTTTTAAACTGGATTTACACAACCTAATATTAACAATGCAAAGATGAACCTGTTAATAGGGGATGGGAAACGTTAGGCTAATGAGTTTAATATTAGCTTAAAATTAATGTATGTATAAAAGTTTATATGGACAGTTCAACTCTGATTTGGTTGGAATATATTCCACCGTCTTGTGTTTCTCTTATATAAAAACGTAATGTTTAACTACAATGGTTAACTACGCATTGTGTTCTACATCTTTTGTAGGTGCTCAGATGGAAGAACTAAGAAATTATAATCTGTCTTTGTAGTGCTTAGAAGATTACATGTACTGGTGGGAGAAATGTAGCTGTAGCACCTCACAAGTCATGCTTTACAAAAGGTAAACTTGCAATTAATTACAATTGGCTGGGCAATTTTTTTAATTGAACTTGGAAAACCAATGTATTGATGTGATAATTTAATGTTATTGGCCAGTGTTTACCAAGCTTAAGATATATTAGATGCATATAATGCTAAGCGATGAAGTAATCTAACTATGATAATTGGTATTCATTCAATTATGCTTCCATTGGCACCGAATATTTCTCCTACACAACAGAAAAACGGAATAAGCCTTATTGGTTTAAAATCTGTTTAAGGACAATAAGAACACACACATGGTAAAACGAAGTTGAAACTGTATTTTTTTAATGTACACTTAGTTTCCCAACTTATAAAACGCCTCTTTGTAGACAACGTTGGTGATTGGAAGTAATCTAACTATGATAATTGGTCGTAATCTAACTATGATAATTGGTCTTCCTTCAATTATGCTTCCATGGGCACCGAACATTTCTCCCACACAACACAAAAACGGAATAAGTCTTATTGGTTTAAAATCTGTTTAAAGACAATCAGAACACACACATGGTAAAACGAAGTTGAAACTCTATTTTTGTAACGTACTCTTAGTTTCCCAAATTCTGAAACACCTCTTTGTAGACAACGTTGGTTGTTTGTGTATCTACCTTTCCTTCTTTGTTGATAATCAAAATCTTCAATCCTTTCTTTGAAGTTACTCTAGACAACGCAACGTACAACTGACCATGTGAGAATACTGGTTTAGGCAAATATATACCCACATGCTCTAGAGATTGTCCCTGGCTTTTATTGATAGTCATAGCAAAAGCGACAGATAACAAAATTGTCTTTGTCTCATCTTTGATGGCAGTTTGGTGTCTGTTGGTGTGACGACAATCTATGGTATTAGCACAATATCCCCAGCCCTATCACCTATGATCACTCTTGCTTCAACAACATGATTATCCATTTGTGTAATCTAAGTCTAGTCCCATTACATAGGTCACCCTTAGGATCAATATTCCTTAGCAACATAACATGAGCACCTTTTTATAATCGCAAAGAATGATGAGGCAAACCTGATAGCTAGATATTGTTTAAAAAATCAGGTGTAATCACAGGATTTGTCAAAGAGTCCGTATGAGTAGGTTCAATACTATCAGCACTCAAATACTCCATCACCTCACCTGTATAAATCATGATAAAAGAAATAATTTCAGTTATTCATGCTTATAAAGAGGAGACTATGGCGGAACAAAAAAATAACAACAGTTAAGATACTTACTATCCAATTTCTCTAGCATATACTGATTTATGATGTTGACGTCATCATTCGTTGGTGCCAATATAGCTCTTTCCTGATAGAATTTCGCATCAACATTCTTTTCAAACATCCCATGATCACCATAAATTTCAGTATATATATCTTCAATAGGGCTGTTTGCTTCTGTAATCAAAAAGTCTTTTGGAATGTCTATCAAAGCATCACCGTCGTTTGGTTCAGAAATCTTACCATCACCAACGTCCAATAACCAGTCTGAAAAATCTTGGATATCTTTGGCTTTGTTTTGACTTATGTTACTCTGCAGTAGACACATATTCTTAGTCAATTTCAAAACCTTACAGCGATCCCAAAGATTAGACGAACTGAGAGCTGCTAGCAATATCTCTGCTCGCCCTGCACCATTTATCACTGGTAAAATCTGTCTGAAATCACCTCCGAACACAACTACTTTACCAGCAAAGACCCGATTGTGTACGGGTGATGCAAATGCACCCTACAAAGTACATGTCATTCTGTCATCCCTATTTTATTACACATGCATATTTGTGTTAATACTACAGGTTTATACACGAATGTTTTTATGTTACTTAGATCTCATAAATAAATAACTTACTTTTTGTCTCGCAGTTCGAAGTCAATCTTCGTAGTTGGCTTATTATTAGCTTCGATAGTTTCTATCTCACCAATATTTACGATCTGACCCATCACATCTACGACAAAATATACGAAGGAATGTAAGAACTGCGATTGTAAGGGAATGTAACAACAACGAATGTAAGAATATATAATTTGTTTCTATCGCAGCTTATTAACATTAAGGAATGAAAGAAAAATGAATGTAAAGAAAATCTTATTTGCTTCAATCTCCAGCTTATTAACATAAACGAATATAAGAAAAACGAAAATTGAATGGAAGTTTTTAATGTATCAATCAACATAGATGGATTGAGGTCTCCACTCTGTAATTTCGAGAACTTAGCCAAGGACAGAAAGTTCGAGTTAGAGACAGGATCACTCATTTGTCACGACGGCGCCGTTGATGAAAACCATCTTAGAAAGATGGTTTGTTGGGCGGAACTCTCCAGAGGCATGGGTGAGTTGGAATTTCTCAATAAACCTCCATTCATCGACAGGGAGATTATGCACGTAACGATTCACCAGATCTTTTTTCACGGCGGCATGAATCTTAGAACCCTAAAAATACAAACAAAAGACATTTTAGTAATGGCGGAACAGATTGAAGACATGGTGTAAACTGTCGTTAAATGAGCAGTTAAGTACTAACCTTGTCATCATAAACAATCAACTCTAAGGTTTCACCGGTCATGCTCGTATATTGGCGCCAAGTGTGAAGGATTTTAACCTGGACCCTCCATGCGGTCTTGTAAGGGCGGACGTCAGGTAAGAAAGTGAATGATGCAGCCATTGTAAGAGTATTAGAAACTTATGTGTGCTAGAGATTGAATCGATGTGGTGTAAGGTGTGTAATGTTTGCCGATGTTATATGTGATATATATATATAGTGAAGGATACATAGTGTAGGGCTTCTTTATGTTGAGTTAGGTCGGCCTCATAAATTTATAGAAAGTTTTAAACATGCCAAGGATTTGATTACAATCAAGCCCTACAATCATGCTATTTAGTAAATACTTTTCCTTTCAATTACAAATCTCGACCATATTATGGTATGGGGAAATAAATATAGATTTGAGTAATTGATTAACTTGGGGAGGTATTATATAGTTAAACTTAGAAAGTGATTTTAATACCACGATTCTTGCAATATAACGCAAGAAGTTTATTTAGGAGCACGTATTTCGGTTGGTATTGTAGACATATCAATCGTTTACTATTTCAAAACCACTATAGAAGCCCATTAGCATTTTAATCTTTTATCTCATATGTGTTATGGAAAAACTTAAACGAAAAGCCCAATAGCAAGGTGTGTATTTCCAATGTGTGTGTCCAAATACTGAAATCGGGTCTTTATTAAAAACGTCTAAACCGACCCGGAAAGGTTATTATCCCATTTAACCTTAATGAAATAGTTTGCTAAAGTCATTTTTGAAGGTCATGTTTTGTAATAAACCAGTAATTGATTGTGTTAAGAAACAAAGGCTGCAAAAATAATAAGATAGATAAGACAGTTGTGTGTATGGATCGACCACCATAGAGAACATTGTGAGTATCTTGAAGAGGTTCGTTTAGTAAAAATTAGTTATCGCAAGAGGACAAAGACGAGCACAACGAGCAATTCAAGTAACTATTTTTTTTTTCATTATCCATATACGATTTTTTGTTTATTTTTATCAAAACTGTTTTTGAGAAAAAGATACAATGATACTTAAATATAAATGAAATAATATTTATCTTGGAAGAATTAATTAAAAATAATTATAGTACTGTTGCATACTATATGACACTACAAACCTATTTGAAAAAATCGATATACATATATCCGCGCGTAGCGCAGGTTAATAGTCTAGTAGGAAAGTAAAATATAGTTCTTTATTCATTAATAATAAGTAGAAGTGAATAAGGGTAAAATTAGAATATATTTTTTTTTTGTTGAGAGAACGTATGTAGGAAAATGACAATATTTATTATTATAGATATTAAATTGTACGTTTTTATTATACGCGTGGGTATATCAATATAATTTTGCGAAAATTATTTATGATTGACGATTAATGAATTAACTACTTAAAAAAACAACATCGTCCATCTAAAATTTTAAATTCGAAATTATATAACTTAGTTTAATGTTTCAAAAATACGCATACCAAATTTCATAAAAACAACAAACACAGTAACTAACCAAGATATCAATAAATAATTAAAAAACAAATAAAGATATCGGATTGTGGTTTTTACCTTAGCATCATCGACCTAACATCATCTCCAATTACTATATTTTAAGAGTTTCCCGATCAAAGATCCCAATATAGACAATACTCCTATTACATAAACCATAAAAAAGAAAAAAAGTTAGAATTGCACTAAACAATTAAACACACAGAAAAATAATACAACACCACTAAAAACACAGATATAATCTTGAATGTAATAAAAAAACATAAACAAATGATAAGCAATTCAAATAATACAAACAATTCAAAAAACGCAAAATACAAAGAAAATCATATTATCTAAAATATGAGCTACACCAACAACAACAAAAATCAGAATACGAAACTAATGGAACCAGATATTAATGTAGAGGTCGAGATTCTATATTTATTATTGAATTGTTAGGGCTAACTGCATAATTATCCAACTTAGTTTTACTTTTTAAAAATAGAAAATTTTACTCAAACACAATATTCACAATAAATTTTGAAATATTTTAACATAAAAATTAACAAAAAATTAAGTATTTTCGTTTTTAAAATTAATAAAAGTTCAATTATATATTTCGATTAATTTTATTTTTATGATTGACGATTAATGAATTAACTACTCGAAACAACGTCGATCCATCTAAACTCCTAAACTCAAAGTTAGATGCCTTTCTAACATAACTTAGTTTTCTGTTTTAAGAATACTCATACCAAATTTCATAAACAAAAGACAAACTAACTAACGAAGATATCAATAAATAATAAACAAACAAACAAATAAATAAATATATATTCCTAGCATCATCTCCAATTTCTTCATTAAAAAAACTTTCCCGACCGAATATCCCAATATAGACAATACTCCTTACATAAACCATTAAAAAGGTTAGAATTGCAATAAATAATCAAAACTATTTATGAAAACTATTCAAAACTATTTATGATTGACAATTAATGAATTAACTACTCAAAAAAACATCGTCCATCTAAAATTTGAAATTCTAAATTATATGCTTTTCTGCCATAACTTAGTTTTATGTTTCAAAAATATTCATACCAAATTTCATAAAAACAACAAACAAAGTAACTAACCAAGATATCAATAAATAATTAAAAAAACAAACCAACAAACAAACATATATTCCTAGCATTATCTCCAATTTCTTCATTAAAAAAACTTTCCTGATCGAATATCCCAATATAGACAATACTCCTTACATAAACCATTTAAAGAGTTAGAATTGCAATAAACAACCAAAACAAGGCAAAAATAATACAACATTAAAACAAAATTATAACTTCGAATAGAATTAAAAACTCATAAATGGGTGATAAGACTCGAATAATAGAAACTATTCGAAAAATGTAAATATAAAGAAAATCATATTATCAAAATATGAACTACACCAAAAAAAAAAAAGAATTTTTAAAAAAAAAGTTAGAACTACGAAACTAATGGAGCCGTGTACTAATTTAAAGGTCGAGACTCTATATTTATAGTTGAACTATTAGGGCTTAACCAGTATAATTATCCAACTCGATTTTACTTTTTAAAGTAGAAATTTACTCAAACACAATATTCACAATAAATTATTAGGTAATTTAATAAACAAAACTCAGTATTTTCGTTTTTAAATTTAACAAAAATTAAAATTTTGCATTTTGATTATTTTTATATCATTTATTTATTATGAAAATGAAATATTAAATTTAGAAATATCTCCATATTTTATAATATATCTTTTATGTCCATAATCTTATTATTTTCCTTTTTACATAAAAAAATTAATAAAGAAATTTTCGTAAATTAAAAATTGTTAAATATTGAGATGTCTATTCCCGATTGGTCGTTTAAAATCCTATGTAGACGCTCTCAAAAGCTTATAGCCTCAACTTTTATATAGTATAGACTAGGTTGTGAACCCATGCTACGCGTGGGTTTATTTGATATATTTTGGTAAAAGTTATATTTGATTGATGATAGTTACAAAAATTTTATACAAAAAGTTAATTTACTATTAAGGCATAAAAATTCATTTCAGATACACACTTTTAAAAATTAAAAAAAAATGTTTTTGTTAAAGAATAAAAAATAAGATCAAAAGAATCATGAATCAATCTTGTTTTCTCATATTTAATTAAGCGCATACATATGTCTTCTTATTTTTCCTCACACTCATCTTTTCACATTTTTAATATATATAATGGCAAAAATAGTATATGTCCACACAAATCACATGGACAAATCACATGTATCTATCAAGTCGTTGGTGAGGAAGAGAGGATGTTGGGGTGGGAACTACAGTTGATCACCAATATTGAGGGCTGGGTGCATTTCCTTGTACTTTAGGGTTTTTTTCTTAGGCGTTTTTGGAGCTACTAATGGTTTACTTAAATAGAAGTAAATCATGTTGTTTCTTTTTATATAAGGTTTAAAACTGTCCAGTGTTTTCCCTCACCACCTCACATGCATAATGGTGCTCTTAGTTGTCTTCGATCTTTCCAACATCTTTCATTGTCTCATTAGTTTGAGACCTAGAAGGAACGACAATCATGGGCACCATTAATGTTACTCATAGCTTCATGAATTTATTTGACTGTTCAACAGCACTTATTTCTTCACGGTAATACTTAATAAGTTGATATGAAATTTACATTTGGGGTGAAAGAGGGCCTAATTTCAACATCAATGGCACGAAGCAGATCTTTTCTATGCTTTCTCTCACTAATATCTTTAATTTCCGCCACGAAACCTGTATTTGGGCCATAACAACCATCTATACTTGATGTAATTTTGCACTTAAATGATACACGGTATTCTCTTCGTTTCATCATTTTTTCTTCAAACAATCACGACGCCTTTTTATTACACACGTTCTATATAGAGAAAAAATAAATGGAATTAGCTGGAATTAGCTTGAACTGCAGCAAAAAAAAAAATGGTGTTTAAGAAAACATAAATCAGGTTCAATTTTTGTTTTTTTAAACATGAAGTTATAGTCCGGAAAATAGCAAAAATCAATCCAAACTTTTTGCTGACGGTATTTTTATACCCAAACTACGATATCCGACAAATAGCAACTTAAACTCACAAAATTTTCAAATTCTCAACCTAAACTATATGAAATCAGCCAAAATCAACATATATTAAACGCTGTTAGTTAACCACTTATCGGCGATGAGTCAATCGACACCATGGTAATGTCGGAACATTTGTGTTGACTAATATGACGTCGTTTGTGAGTTAAGGGTTCTCGAATCAAAGAAATGCTAAAGCAAACACTCATCGAATCTTCAATTTGAAATCCTAAACTCACGAAACGACGTCATATTACTCAACTTTGATATCCTGTCATTGCCACGGTGTCGGCTAACTCAGCGCCGTTAAGTGGTTAACTAGCACCATTTTGATATATGTTCATTTTGGCTGATTTCATATAGTTTAGGTTGAGAATTTGAATTTTTGTGTGTTTAGGTTGCTATTTGCGGGGTATCGTAGTTTGGGTATGAAAATACCGCCAGTAAATACTCGGGGTTGATTTTTGCTATTTTCCCGTTATAGTCCTCCAAGAAAACATACATTTTATGCTTAAATCTTTGGAATCATGCTGCTTGACATAGAAACTCTGATGATCTAATGATATGTGCTGATTCTTAGCATATACTCCAGCCCATATTTTCCCGAAATCAGAGCGACACCTAGCCTATTTTTCTTGTTTCTGATTTCATTGAAATTTTTTCTTCAGATCCAAAATTTTTAGAATTGTAATCAACTCTAATTGTGGCTGACAGCTTGGAAAATACAACTTAAAATATATGATCAAATGTGATGCCTCTTGTTATTATTTATACTGAAAAGATGTAGCGTTAATCGAATATATATTTTTGTTAATATTCTTTTTTAGGTTAAAAAATAAATAGATTAAGAAAGTAAGAATAAGAAATGTAAATTATATATATTTTGTATATTGTTTTTCAAAAGTTTACAATTCTCTTTTTTCTTTATATTTCGATTTTCCTTTTTATTTATATTTTTTATAAGAAAAGAAATAGAATTTAAAATTTTTAATTAATTAGATGGAAAAATGTTAATTAATTAGATGTTTAATCCTGATTGGTCGTTTAAAATCCTATGTGGACGCCCTCAAAAGCTTATAGCTTCAACTTTTATATAGTATAGACTAGGTCTTTCACCCGCGCGTAGCGCGGGTTTACCTTTATCGAATTTTTTTCTTCAAAAAATAGTTTTTGGGGTTTTTGAACATAAGTATCATTTTTGGTATTTATTAGATTTTAGTATAAAAATATTCTAAGATTAAAATTTAAACATATTAAACCCAGATAATTTTTTCCTTGGTTATTTGCTATTAGTAAATTAGTTCCCATATAATATACAACAATATAATTTTAAAATAAATTAAGAAACTAAACTAAGAAATTACGTACTCATTTGGACATACATGTATATGTACATGTTTTTTTTAATTTATTTATAAGATTTGCTATTAGCAAATCAATTTTTTAGATGGAGAAATATATTTTGACTAAAACTATAAAATTACATTACAAAAAATACATAAACATTGGACCTCTCATAAGCTATACTAATCCCATTGTCATTCCTCTTTCATCGAAAATAAAGAAATAATATTGTTATGGCATTGGAGAAATCTACCTTGTTATGTTCTTATTTCATTAATTCAGACTATTTCAACTAAAACCGTATTTCTTTTGAACATAAAATAACTTTTGTTTACATTCTTAAGAATATCCATAAGATACACCGCATTGGTCACCTGATCTCCTCACAACGGACAGCAAACCATCAAGAGTACTCCCAAAGAAAAAGATTCCATCGTCCTATCCACAATGAGCACGAAACTTGCCACAAAAGGATGATTTAGGCCTCAAGTCTAACCACCCAATGGTTTTTACCAGAAAAAGAGTCGACATGTAATCAAGAACTTCTGGTTCCAAGGCATTGAACAGCTAGGATGCGGTTGGAGTTTCCAAACGGGGTTCACGGGGAGCCGGTAATCACTGTTGGACAGGAGGTGGTAGAGGCTATGAATGGTCTATACAAGCAGTGTATGATAGTAAATGTTTTGGGTCGTCACGTCACGGTGGAGTCGTTTAATAGAAAGTTAAGGGAGTTGTGGAAGCCGACAGGGGGTATGTGTGTGGTGGATCTACCAAGACAGTTTTTTATGGTTATGTTTGATGCAGAGGAGGATTATCTAGCTGCAATGACCGGAGGTCCTTGGAGGGTTCTTGGTAGTATTTTGATGGTGAAAGCTTGGTCTCCCGAGTTTGATCCGCTTTGTGATGATATTGTGACTACGCCAGTGTGGGTCAGAATATCGCATATTCCGGTGATATTTTATCACCGTGCAATTCTTATGGGGTTTGATGAAGGGCTCGGGAAGCCTCTTAGAGTGGACATGACGACGTTGAAGATGGAGCGAGCACGGTTTGTACGTGTGTGTGTGGAGGTAAATTTGCGGGATCCTCTGAAGGGGTCATTGTTGATCAATGGTGAACGGTATCATGTGTCCTATGAAGGGTTGACTCACATATGTCCGACGTGTGGTGTGTATGGACATATGGTTAGCGGTTGTCCAAAGAGAGTTATCATGCCACAGATCCCAAGGAGTTCACAAGAAGTGGATACGAGACAAAGTAGTGGTGAGAGGGATGATCAAGGCTTCACAGAGGCCCGAGGCCGGAGTAGAAGAGTGGTAAACAAACCGGTTGGGTCTGTGACAGGAAGTTTGAGTGCGCAAGTACCAGTACAAGACAAGATTGACATTGCTAGTGGAGGTGTGGTTGGAGTAATTGATACCTCGAATCGTTTTAGTGGTTTAGAGAGAGAGTTGGGAGTGAAGGAGATGACGGATGAGGTTGGTATGAGTGAGGCTAATAAAGAGAATGAGAATAACCCGAATGTTGTGCGTCAAGGGGACTTGAGGAGAATAACTGGAACGGGAGCATGGGATAAGAGTGGTTTCCGAGAAAGAGGAGTAGAGAAGAGAATTGGTGGTACTAAAGGAATACGTCATGCTAGTGCTAAAGGAAAGAATCTGCGACGCAATGTTCCTATGCGTGGTTTGGTTTTTGGTCCAACGAAGGGGGAGATGATAACCGAAACTTCCGGGAAACGTCTCCGGCTAGATAATGAGAGTGTTGGTCGGGAGGAAGGCTCGTATTTGTTGGATAGTGAGGGTGTAGCGGGAGAGAGGAGACCGTTGCAGATTTTGGAGGATAACATGGAGCTTACTAATGGAAAAGAAGTTGAGACTTCTTCTTTAGAGGTAGTCCTCCATGAGAGTTTGTTGGTCGCCGATGGCGTTGATGGGGATAAATAACAATTTTCCCCGGCTGTTCTTTATGCTTTTCAAGCTATAATGATGAATTGTTTATTATGGAATTGTCAGGGGGCGAATAAACCCAACTTTCGACGTTCAATAAGATATATGTTGAAGAAGTATGACACGGATGTGGTTGCTTTGTTTGAGACGCATGCTGAAGGGGAGAGAGCAAGTAGTATTTGTCAGCGTGTGGGTCTAGAGAACTCGTTTAGAGTGGATGCGGTAGGTCAAAGTGGCGGGTTATGGTTGTTGTGGAGGTCGGGTGTTGGGAGTGTGGAAGTGATATCATCTTCTAGCCAATATATTTGTGTAAAGTTGGTTAATGGTGAGGAGTATTTGACTTTGGTTGTGGTTTATGCGGCGCCAACTGTTAGTCGTCAGAGCGGCTTATGGGAGGAGTTACGGGTCGTGGTCCGCGGGGTGGAGGGTCCCTTAATTATAGGGGGGGACTTCAATACCATTTTAATGCTGGATGAGAGAACTGGGGGGAATGGAAGACTTTCATCGGACTCTTTAGCCTTTGGTGAATGGGTGAATGATCTTTCATTAATAGATTTGGGCTTCAAAGGTAACAAATATACTTGGAAGCGTGGCCGTGTGGAGAGTACGTTTATAGCTAAACGTCTTGATCGAGTGTTTTGTTGTGGTCATGCACGGTTAAAATGGCCAGAGGCAGTTGTCTCCCATCTTCCCTTTCTATCTTCGGATCATCCACCCCTTTATGTTCAACTTTGCCCACGAGAAGATATGGATCCAAGACAGAGGCCTATCCGTTTTGAGGCGGCTTGGTTGAGCCATGCAAGTTTCAAGGAGATGTTATCGGCTTCTTGGGATCCGGGTATTCCAACTCTAGAGGCTTTGAGTAAACTAAAGTGGAAACTGAAGAAATGGAATAAGGATGTTTTTGGTGATGTTAATAATCGGAAAGAGAAGTTGATGGCCGAGATCAAGGAGGTACAAGAGTTGTTGGACGTTCATCAGTCAGATTCTCTTTTAGTGAGGGAAGAACAATTATTAAAAGACTTTGAGAGCTTATTGGAGCAGAAGGAGACAATATGGTTCCACAAGTCGCGGGAGAAGTATATTACCTTGGGGATAGGAATACGACCTTCTTTCATACTTCCACGATTATTCACAGGAGGAGGAATCGCATCGAAATGCTGCGAGGAGAGGATGATAGGTGGGTTGTGGATAAGAAAGAGTTAGAGAAGTTGGCCCTTTCGTATTATTCAAAGTTATATTCACTTGAGGATGTGAGTGAAGTGAGGGAGTCCTTACCTATGGCCGAGTTTGTTGGGTTAACAGCAGCGGAGAAAGATGGTTTAAATAGACCATTTACGGCGGAGGAGGTAGTGGTTGCGGTGTTTTCAGCCCATGTTTTACCAAGATTGTTGGGAAATTGTTGGGAGTTCGACGTCACGCTTTGTACTTGATTTTTTCAATACCGGGATGCTGCCGAGATCTACGAATGATGCTTTGCTTGTTTTGTTACCAAAAGTTTCGAAACCAGAGCGAATTACACAGTTTAGACCGATAAGCTTGTGTAATGTTTTATTCAAGGTAATCACCAAAATGATGGTTATTCGCCTTAAGGGGGTCATTTCCAAGCTTATTGGTCCAGCCCAAGCTAGCTTTATCCCGTTAAGTATTGACAACATAGTAGTGGTTCAAGAGGCAATCCATTCGATGCGGCGTAAGAAAGGGCGTAAGGGATGGATGTTGTTGAAATTAGATCTTGAGAAGGCCTATGATCGGATTCGTTGGGATTTTTTGAGGGAAACGTTAGAGGCAGCGGGTTTATCGGCGGAGTGGACGAGTAGAATAATGGAGTGTGTCTCCAATCCGTCAATGTCTATATTATGGAATGGTGAGAAGACGGATTCTTTTCAGCCAGCTCGGGGGTTACGTCAAGGGGATCCTCTCTCGCCCTATTTGTTCGTGTTGTGTCTTGAGAGGTTATGTCATCTCATAGATAATGCGGTTGGAGAAGGGAGCTGGAAACCGATTACTCTATCGAGAGGGGGACCGAGATTATCCCATGTGTGTTTTGCAGACGACTTGATCTTGTTTGCGGAAGCCTCTGTAGCTCAAGTCCGTGTTATTCGGGGAATATTGGAGAGGTTTTGCTTAGCTTCGGGTCAAAAAGTAAGCCTAGAGAAGTCGAAGATCTTTTTCTCGAGTAATGTTAGCCGAGATATGGAACGGTTAATTACCATGGATAGTGGCATTGGTTCTACAAGAGAATTAGGCAAATATTTAGGGATGCCAATCTTGCACAAGCGGATTAACAAGGAGACGTATGGTGAAGTGTTGGAGAAGGTTTCTTCACGGTTAGCAGGTTGGAAGACCCGTACGTTAAGCCTGGCGAGTCGGATTACTTTAACTAAAGCAGTATTGTCTTCTATCCCGGTTCATTCTATGAGTTCGATTATGATGCCAGTATCGACTTTAGAGAGCTTGGATCAGTTGTCGGGGACGTTCTTGTGGGGTGGCACAGCGGAGAGGAAGAAACTCCACCTGTTATCTTGGAAAAAAGTTTGTAAACCTAAAGCGGAAGGTGGTGTGGGGCTGCGTTTGGCAAGACATATGAATAAGGCTCTTTTAGCTAAGGTGGGATGGCGACTTCTCAGTGATGACACTAGTTTATGGGCACGAGTCTTACGAAAAAAGTATAAGGTGGGTGATGTTCATGATCATTCATGGATGGTGCCTAAGGGTACTTGGTCGTCAACATGGCGTAGTGTGGGCGTCGGTCTGAAATATGTGGTTTTAAATGGTTTAAGCTGGGTACCAGGGGATGGGAGATCAATTCTCTTTTGGTCCGATGTTTGGTTGTTGGCGGAATTGCTGTTGCAACGCCTTATAACTCCATTACCGGTTGAGGAAGAAGGTAGGAGGGTCGAAGATTACTGGATTGATGAGGCAAGCTGGGACATGGCGACATTGAGGTTGTACCTTCCTGAGACAATTATACAACGGTTGTATGCGGTGGTTATAAAAGGTGTATTCGGACTACGAGATCGTATATCTTGGTCCGCTAGTCTGAATGGTGAGTTCGGTGTTCGGTCCGCTTATGCTCTTTTATCGGCTGATAACACTTACAAATCTTCTATGGAGCGTTTCTTTAGTCGGATTTGGGCGGTAGTAGCTCCCGAGAGGGTTTGTGTTTTTTTGTGGCTTGTTGGTAATCAGGTGATTATGACTAACATGGAGCGAGTAAGGCGGCATATATCGGATTCGGGGGTTTGTCAAGTGTGTAGAGGAGGTATGGAATCGATTTTGCATGTTTTGAGAGATTGTCCGGCGATGTCAGGGGTTTGGTTTCGTTTAGTTCCTCCGACCAGAAGACGTGACTTTTTTACGAAGTCGTTACTAGAGTGGTTATTCGATAACTTGGGTGATGATTCGATGTTGGGTGAGAGCAGTTGGTCCACATTATTCAGCATGGTGATTTGGTGGGGATGGAAGTGGCGTTGTGGTAATGTCTTTGCGGTGCAAGGAAGATGTCGGGATAGAGTTTGTTTCTTGCGTGATTTGGCTTTGGAGGTCACACGAGCTCATGTAAATGAACGGGGAGGACCAAGGTCAAGTAATAGAATAGAAAGGTTGGTGAAATGGACGAGACCGGGTGCGGGGTGGGTAAAATTATCCACGGACGGGGCGTCGCACGGGAATCCGGGGCCAGCTACAGCGGGTGGAGTGGTCCGAGATAGCAACGGGGAGTGGTTAGGTGGCTTTGCTTTGAATATTGGGATATGCTCAGCACCAATGGCGGAGTTGTGGGGAGTGTACTATGGACTAGTGATTGCTTGGGAACGAGGTTTTAGACGGATTGATTTAGAGGTGGATTCGGAGTTGGTTGCCGGTTTTCTTCGGACAAGGATAAGTGAGTATCATCTGCTGTCTTTCCTGGTACGGTTGTGCCATGGCTTTATTTCACGGGACTGGATAGTTCGAATTACGCATGTGTATAGGGAAGCTATTCGTCTCGCAGACGGATTAGCTAACTATGCTTTCTCTTTGGATTTAGGTTTTCTTGCTCTTGATTTTTGCCATGATGTTTTGCATTCCATTTTGTTGGAGGATGCAAATGGGGTTGAACATTTACGTTTTATGCGGTTGTAAGTTTATTTTTTTTAGTTTAATAATACGAGGGAGGCCTTGTCTCCCTCTCTCTCACCAAAAAAAAAAATATTTTATTTGTTTCCATATTATATGTTTTGTTTTCCTTTTTACATAATTTTAATTATAGAAAAAAATATTATATTTAAAAAATGTTAACTATATGTCTCATCTCGATTGGTCGTTTAAAATACTATGTGGACGCTCTAAAAAGCTTCTAGCCTCAACTTTTATATAGTACTAGGTTTTGAACCCACGCTACGCGTGGGTATATTTGATATATTTTGGTTAAAATTATTTATCGTTGATAATTAATGAATTAACTACTCAAAACAACATCGTTCATCTAAACTCCTAAACTCGAAATTATATGTCTTTCTTACTTTCTACCGTAACTTAGTTTTATATTTCCAGAATACCCATACTAAATTTCATAAACAAATAATCAAGATATCAGTAATTAATAAACAAACAAATGAAGATATCAGATTGTGCTTTTTACCTTAGCATCTTCTGCCTAACATCAACTCCAATTACTACATTAAAAGACTTTTTAAATCAAAGATTCCAATATAATCAATACTCCTATTACATAAACAAAACGTAAAAAACAAAAAGTTAGAATTGCACTAAACAATTAAAACACACCAAAATAATACAACACTATAAAAACACAATTATAACCTTGAATGGAACACAAAATCATAAACGGATGATAAGCAAATCAAATCATGGAAACAATTCAAAAACGCAAATACAAAAAAAAAAATATTATCAAAAAATCTAAACTACACCAAAAAAGAAGAAGATCAGAACTACGAAACTAATAGCAAAAGATACTAATGTAAAAGTCTAGACTTTTTATTTATAGTTGAATTGTTAGGGCTAATTTTCTTAATTATTCAAGTCGATTTTACTTTTTATAAATAGAAATTTACTTAAACAAAATATTCACAATAAAGTTTGAAGTATTTTAATTTAAAAATTTAATAAAAATTAAGTATTTTCGTTTTTAATTTAACAAAAATTAAATTTTTATATTTTGATTAGTTTTATATCATTTATTTTTTTTATGTAAAAGTAATATTAAATTTAGAAATATTTCCATGTTTTAAAATATATCTTTTATTTCCATATATATATATTATTATTTGCCTTTTTACAAAATAAATCTTAGCATAAAATTTGTCATAATTTAAAAAATGTTAAATAATGAGTTGTCTAACCGTGATTGGTCGTTTAAAATCCTATGTGGACGCTCTCAAAAGCTTATAGCCTCAACTTTTATATAGTATAGACTAGATGTTAACCCGCGGTGTACCGCGGGGACAATTTTTTTAACTAAATTTTTTAATTTTGAAGTTATATTTGTTAATTTTGATAGATAAGTTTTTATAACTTATTTTTTTGTTAAAAAAATAAGTTGTATTTTTTGTTTGTTTTGTTTTGTATTTAAGCTTGTACAATTGTATTTTGATTGTTTATTTTATAATTTAACCCGTGGACCGCGAGTCAATCAAACTTTTACATAATTATAGTTTAATCAACTTAATTAAATATGTATAATATTTAAAACAATGAATTGATGATGACATAACATCTTTTAGTTCAAGTTATTTGATTTTAGACTAAAATATTTTGTATGTAAACAACTCATAAATATATATATACTCAAACTACTCTCTCACATGACCCATGGACATTGAAATTTTTCTTCTACATTTTCAAAAATTATACTATTTTGTAATAGTATTATAATATTTAAGTGATTTTTTTCTTTAAAACACTCCATTTTATAAGTTCATGTAAAAACTCCATTTTATACTTTCATGTAAAAATAAATCACATGACCCGTGACCTGTGGTTACAAAAATAATACTATTTTCATAATTATTTTATAAATCATTATAAAATATGGGTAAATGATTGTAAATTATTTAACGAATATGGGTAAATTATTTTCCGATTTTATGCAAGATCGTGTTTGATATATTCCTTAATTTTCTATATACGTTTTTTGGTCAAAATTATATTTAATTCAACATACCATAAATGTAGGTTTAATATAGATTTTATAGACATTTTGAATTTAAATTTAAAAACGATTTTTAGAATATTAAATTATTACTTTTTTAAACAAAAATTGATTTAGGAAAATTAATAAATTTAAGAGAGATATTGTAGGAATCAATTTTGTTTGGCGATTTTATAGCCATATTATTTTAGGAATATCAAAAATATTATAGAGAGATTTTAGGAGATTTTAAATATTGGTTTTATAATTTTATTTTCAAAAAAATTAATATCAATGGCATTTTTTGTAAATACTGTTGAAACCCAAAATTTATTTTCTAACTTGCTCCACAAATGTTAATATAGATAGATTATTCTTCAAAAAAAAATCAAGTATTAAATGTTCAAACAAAAAAAATTATTTTTAAGCTTTTTTCATAGAAAAAAAAAAACACAGAGGATCCGACCCGGTAATTACCCTAAACGGCCCAGGCAAGTGTGCAATCGAGAAAGACGAGACTCACACCAGAAGTAGCAAAACCCCCCAAAACCGATTCGCTTCGATTCGAGAGAGAGAAGCAAAAACAGAGCTCCTAGGGCGATTCACAAGTTCCTGTACAACCAACGATGCAACCACATAGTGACGAAGACTCGTCTTCGATTCATCACGATTCTATCCCTTCCGGTGATACCTCCGTCTGGGCCGATGTTTCGCCTCTCCTCTCCGCCGCCTGCTTCGGTACTCTCTCTCTCTCTCTCTCTCTCTCTCTCTCTCTCTCTCAGGAATTAGAGTTGTGTTCATAGTATGCTTTTGATTCGATGGTTGAGTATTATGTGATTATATCAAGTTGTTTGAGTCTCGATGAAGTTATGTAAGTTACCTTAAATGTATATTCATGGAGATATTTTTCTGATTTTGAGTTTTGTTTCTTTTGCAGATCTTCAAGAAGGACAACTCATTAATGGAGATAATTTCCATCTTTTTGCTGCAATGTCTGCTTTGGAGGTTTCACACCTTTTAATCTTATAATATATCTCCCCTGTAATTCTTATTTCTTCAAAATATAGCTTTTGTTTCCATACTTAGCTTGTGAGGTTGCAGTACTTGTAGCACAAATTGTGTCTGATTGGTTTTAGTGTTGCAATCTACTCTAAATTTTTAATTTATTTTCCTGATTTATTGTAGATAATGGACCCAAAGATGGATTCTGGAATGGTATCTACCTTTTATTCTATAGATGAAGCTATCGAAAGTGGTTTTGCGCCTGTTCCTATAAGCTCTGATAGTATTGTTAATGTGCAATCCATTATTGACATTATGGACCATCTTCTGGCTTGCGAGGTAATCTCTGTTAAAGATGTGCTAATATAATACTACGTGAGTTGTAAGATGGAAACTTGAGTATATAGCCTCTCATATTTCCTTTTCCGTAAAGAATTAATCACTTTGCTCATTGAAATTTCTGATAAAGAGAATAGTATGTAGCTAACATCGTCGATTTGGAGTTTCTTTATCCACAATTTGTGTCTTTTGTGTCTTTCTTATAAACTCTCTACTTTTTGCAGGCAACATGGCACATGGGTCATTCGTTGGCCCAAACTGTGTTTTCATGCATCTATGTTCTGAGGCCTGAGAGGACATCTTCACAGGCTCTATTGCATTCTTATTGTAGGGTCATCCGATCAACTTGCAGGGCAGTTGTTTCTGTAGTTTCAGATGCACGTACAAATGAAGTAATTAACTTTTAACAATTTCTGGTCCTCTTTTACTCTTGCGGTACTAAGAATGTTTCTGTGTGTATTTTTTTTATTAATGGTTTAGTTTGTGCCCAATGTTTGCTTCTTAGATCTTTTAATCTGTCCAACATTTTGTTTTCTGGCATAAAGAAAAGCAGGTGTTTACCCATTTTGACATTTCATAGTTGTCAGTAACCATAAGCTTATCTGAGTTAATATGTTAATTTTCCCCAGTTTAGTTTAGAAGCCACATTCCGTGCTTGGTGACATCAGAGATGAAAACGGGATTCACTTTATTCTCCTATCTTGATGAAGTCTTTGCATTTGTTCTCATCTAGTCTAGGCAGTTATTTTTTAAATCTTGAGGTGATTAGCAGAGGGTAGTACTTATTTGTTTAGAAAATTTCCACCATTGCCCACCGCTAAATGCAGATGAAAACTTAAGAATATATGTTGTGATATATTTTGGATAGAAGTTTCTCTTGACTAGAGAAAGGCTGTCATGAATATTTTACACTGAATGATTCACCTGTTACCTGCTTATTAACAGGAAGAGGATCTTTTTACCATGACTTATGGACTTCCGTTTAGTGGAGATGAAGATGCCAAAGGCTTGTTACTCTTAAATGCGGTCGAAGAAACAATATGTCGTCAGCTGCGTGCTTGTAAGGCTACAAGAAGGAGAGCGTTAGAAGGTACTTTTTTCTTTGCATATCTTCCTTTTCTATTTTGCATGCACACACATGCAGAATAGATATACAAAGAGAGTATTCATATGATGGGATTAAAGATTCTTCTGTTGCCTCTTTTCATTTCTATATTGTTCACACATATAATGGTGATTTTGAATTTGAAGACAGTCTAATGCATTGTACTTAGATATTCTGCAACTGCTTTCTAAGAGTATACGACAACGTAAATCATCCCCTCTCGCCTATATATGATAACTTTGAGTCTTCTGCTGCATAATGATTTATATGTAGAGTCCGCTGATCATTGCAATTGATTTTTTTCTTTGGAACTTTGGCCATTAATTGTAACACTGTTCCACAGCAGCACAAACTGAGTCCAATAAGTTTCTTTTTTTTTCCTAAAGATGCAGAATTGGAACCTTTACAAACTAATCCCCACCTGGAAGAAAGTTTTTGCAAAGCTCTATTATGCCGGATACGCTTCCGTAAGGTCTCATGCTTTATTTATTCTTTCTTTGATAAATGTTGTTTATTTGCTCGTTTTCTCAACTTTAGTGTTTA